TAACTCCGTAAATATCACGTGTAAGTATACCATTTTTTTAAAGCTATTTTTAAAATCATACTCCCTCCGTAAACTAATATAAGAGCGTTTAGATCACTACTTTAGTTATCTAAACACTCTTATATTAGTTTACAGAGGGAGTATTTCTCAAATCATTTCGTCATGCTTCCCCAACTTAGGTATTCTAAGTGAACCGATCCAGGCTGGGCCCGGATGTTACGCCAGAAAGTGATTTTCAGCCCTCAAAATCTAAGTAAGGATTAATTTTCTAGCCTTTTATGATAAATAAATCACTTTAAGTCATAGGTATACCAACATATCAAATTGGGATCTCGGATCTTGTAAGGAGAATTTTTTACTGCTACAAATGCTCGAAGTCAAAACTCCAAACACTCAAAATTCCTCAATCTTCCACACATACATTTCTCCTTTTAGGTAAAAAGCTAGCGATACTATTAATAAGAGACATGATTTTCAGCACCCGGGTGCCCCTACACCCTCTATGAACAGTAAATTCAAAAAAAATTCAAAACAAAACAAAAAAAATCTGAAACTTTGGGACATCGAACATCATGTAACTTTTGATGATCTTGCAAAGTTTTAGCTAAAAATAACATTCAAAGAGCACTCAAATAAAAAATCAAAATCATTGTTCAAACTTTATGTGCATTTTTGAGCAGTGATTTTGTTTTTTTGGAGAGGGCTCCACGAAGGTTATTTGTTGCTGAAACTTTGCAGGAACATCAAACCTTTGATAGTCTTTGATCCCTAAAAGTTTCAGCTTTTTTTGATTTTCTTTTAATTTTTTATGAATTTACTGTTCATGAGAGTGTAGGGGCACCCGGAGCTGTTAGACATTTCTCTATTAGTAACCATTATTTCCACGTCGCTACAGTCACAGCTATGAAAATTACAATCTTGTACTGTAGCTGGTAGCTGGTAAACTCAATCACATAGCAATGCAACAGTTGACTTCTTGGATCGTGTGCCTAATCCTACCGTCCTGCCATCCAGGGCATGTACTATCTTCTGGAAGAATTCCCACAGCCATTGTGGCGGTAATGTTGAAACATAGAAGTCATTTCCGTGAACTTCCCGCCTTATAATTAAAATCTTGGTAGTACCAAGTCCAACCTTTCCAAGTTTTCCTTGCCGGCGAGTTTGAAGATGAAGACGAAGATAAACATAAATATATATCTTGAGTGCCATAAGCTTTAAATATATTATTTGGATTGGTAAAATATAAATGTTAGTATTTTCATAGTATCCTAGAATTCCATGTCAACATATTCACATAAAAGTACCCCCTCTGAACTAAAACCACGACAAGAATTATGGTACAGAGGGAGTAACTATATCCATCTCAACACCCTAAAACAACATTATTATTATTTTCCAGATGAAACAACATTTATTATACTGAACATAAAATATTATGTGGTTTGAAAATTGGTGGTCAAAGTTGCTTATTAACTACTACACCCTCTGTTCACTAATGTAGGACGTTTTTGAACAGTGAACAGAGGGATTACAAAGCATCGTATATTCCTGAAGAGTGAAGACAGTTCGCTTAATTAATCTGTTACATTATGAATTCTCCATATGCATTATTCCGTGTGAATGTATCTGCAATGTCAAGAGTCAGCGATTGAGGAGGAGATTTTCTGTTGAAAAGTAAGCAGATGACTTTGATCACCTGCAGAACAAGTCCATTCGATCGCTTGTTTTGATCGTTAGCCGCAAAACGCACTAGCATTTATAAATACTGCGGCTGAACCATCCAAGCTGTGCAAAAACCAATCGCTCCCCCGAACAAAAGCAGGAGTAACAAAAGCCACCAATGGGCTCCACAAAGCTCATCGCAGCGACTCTTCTCCCCGCCTTCCTCGCCCTCCATCTACACGCCCCAGCAGCAATGGCCACCGCGGCAGGAAGCTCCAACTCCAACCTCTTCCGTGACTACATCGGCGCCCTCTACAACGGCGTCAGGTTCGCGGACGTGCCGGTCGACCCGCGCGCCCGGTTCGACTTCATCCTCGCGTTCGTCATCGACTACACCACCGCGACGGAGCCACCGTCCCCGACCAACGGCCGGTTCAACGTCTTCTGGCAGGACACGGTGCTCACCCCCGCCGCGGTCGCCGAGGTCAAGCGGCGGAACCCCAACGTGCGCGTGGCCGTCAGCCTCGGCGGCGCCACGGTCAACGGCAGGCCCGTGTTCTTCAACGTCACCTCCGGCGTTGACTCCTGGGTCCGCAACGCCGTCGACTCGCTGACCGGCATCATCCAGCGGTACGGCCTGGACGGCATCGACATCGACTACGAGCAGTTCCAGGTGGACCCGGGCACCTTCGCCGAGTGCGCCGGCCGTCTCGTGGCGGCGCTCAAGAGCAGCGGCGTCATCAGGTTCGCGTCCATCGCGCCGTACGGCAACGGCGACGTGCAGCGCTACTACCGGACGCTGTGGGCGGCGCACGGGGCCGCCATAGACTACGTCAACTTCCAGTTCTACGCCTACGGCGCAAGCACCACCGCGGCGAAGTACGTCAGCCTCTTCGACGAGCAGATCGCCAACTACCCTGGAGCCAACATCCTGGCCAGCTTCACCACGGCGGCGACGAACACCTCGGTGCCGGTCGACACCGCGCTCAGTGCTTGCCGGACTCTGCAGGGGCAGGGCAAGCTCTACGGCATCTTTGTCTGGGCTGCAGACCATTCCAGGAACCAAGGATTCAAGTATGAGACACAGTCGCAGGCCCTGTTGACTGATGCCACCACTTACTAGTTACCCACAGCTTCTTGGTTTGCGTATATCGATTTTTTAGTGAAATCATACGGAATAAAATGAGCATCCGATTTTAATTGTTGGTTGACTGCACCCTATTAGGCTTAAAATTATTGGAAAATGTACGTAATATTTACATTTGAGATTTATTTATAGCACATTCTCAACATATCCATAACTTTCTAGCCCTTCCTCTAAACTTTCCTTTTGCAAGAGAAACTTCCAATCTATTCTTCGACCCTTAAGGTAGTACAAAGAACACAGAAATAAAAAATACATTCAGGTTCATAAACCACCTAGTGATGACTACAAGCACTGGAGCTAGCTGAAGGTGCGCCGCCGTCATCGCCCTCCCTCGTCGAAGACGAGCAAACCTTGTTGTAGTAAACAGTCGAGAAGTTCTCGTGCTAAGACCCGATGGGACCAACGCATCAGAACAACAACCGTCGCCGATGAAGAGAAGCGTAGATTGGAAGAATCCAACCTGTAGACAGACGAACGAAAACCGGATCCACGTAGATCCACCGAAGACAAACGCCGAACGAATTCCATGAGATCCGCCGGAGATAAACCTTCACACGCCCCCTGACGATGCTAGAAACACCATCAAAACTAGGGCTAGGCAGAAAAGACCTTATTCCACCTACAGAGAGTTGCCGCCGCCTCGCATCTCTAAGCAGGACACAAACCCTAACAAAACTCAAAAAACATAAAAAAAAAGGGATTTGTGATTATTTGCCACAACTTACTTTGAACTTTGATATTTTTCTGGTGCCACCCTTTACTTGGAATTTTGATAATTTGCCATCTGTCGGTTGGGCCCCACAGGAAAAGTCCAAAATACCCTTGCCGTTCGATTGACCAGGACGGGAGAGAAGCTCTCGGTCGTCATTCTCATCCCCTTCTCTCGCCCCCAGAGATGGCAAGAGGGCGGCGGCTCCTCGACGACGAC